AGAATTCCCAGCTTAGAGTGAATTGTTTAGACTTCATAAAGATTACACATTTTTCATAATAACAAAAACAAACACTAAAAAGGTACTTATAGCGCCCTCTTGCGACTAATGAAAGCTCACAGATTTGGCATTTTCCTCAAAGTGCTATATTTAAGAAAAGTTCGAGAAAATATTGTTTTAAAATCATTTACCGGTTTATGTAATCTTCGACAATATTTAATGTATAGCATGTAAGTCAACCTTTTTACTAAGATATGCTATTTGGGAAACTAACTGTTTTCATTTTTTTAGTTCATAATTTTACGAACGGTCCATAGTACGCCCGGCTCATACTTCATGCGAATGCGAAGCGAATTCGACGTCACAAAGCATTCGCTGCGAAATGCGCTCGAAATGCGCTCGAGTTGAAATATGTTCAACTTTTACGAATTCGCAGCGCGAATACTTGCCACGACGTTACAAATTCGCGTTCGCTTTCGCTTTCGCGCCGAGTATGAACCGGGCTAGTAATAGGCTATTGACCCACGCCATTTGCGAGTAAGCCACGCAGTTGGACAAAGTGCATGCAGTTTGACAAAGTGCGATTGACACCGTCTGTCAACATGGTTGAATAGTCAGTAGAATTAGAGGTATGCTTTTATGATGGCTAAAGGCGTGCCAACGTGTCTATAGCGACTTGATTTCGAAGAGAATAGGAAGCATATGTAAACAGAAGAAGAAAAACATGTTATAAAAACTATATAGACGGACAGGAAAAAAACCTCGAAGAATGCGAATGCTCATTATAGTGCTCACTGCAATTCCATGCACCATATACTGTGTGTGTGTACGTGTCTGTAAGCACACGCATACGCAGTGGCGTAGCCACGGGGGGGAGGGGGGGGCGACAGCCCCCCGTAAAACCTTGTCGCCCCCCCCCCAGTCGCCCCCCACTGAAATTTTGAGTTTTTAAAAAAATTATCATTGATCTACATGACGCCCCCCCCCATGAAATGTTCCAGCCCCCCCCCCCCAGCTTCCCCCCAGAAAGATGATAAGTTCTACTTCGAGGGTTTGCACATTCATTATAGGACATGCACGATTCAAATAAATCAAGTATATCACAATGATACATTTTATTTCAATACACAGTTGACCTAGCTGAGTGTATTAGTCGTTAAAACGTCGCCAGATCTGCAAACATGCTCCGACGTATTGAGAAGAACTCCCCATGTAACAGAATGATTGCATCCTCATTTGCATAGCGGTGCGCGATTGGATCTCACCGCAAAAATACACTGCATATGTTTTGCGCTGCACGCATATATGAATAACGGTGCAAGAACTTAATCGTTAAGTCGTTAGATTTGTCGCAACCGCAACTTGTATTGAACCCACAGCTAGACATAATTAAACGCAACCCGGTCGATTACGTCCTAGTCTTATACCAGCCGTGCCAAATGAGTTCGACTGAAGTTCAGGGACAAAATAAGACTATCTAACGACTTGTCATCAAGCCTAACGTACGCTGTAAGGTTTCATATTTTCATGATTCTTAACCAATCAGACTGCTCGGTAAAAATCTGGTAGCAATTCCCATGGGTTGTGTACTAAGCCGAGAAAAAAAGTATTCAAGTCGACAACAAACTATTCAAATTGGAGGTCGATTTACTCTCACATTGGTGTCGAGGATATACAAACATCCCCGCATGTACGTGCCATACCGCACGCTCTACATTGTAAAGTGAACCATTGGACGCTATCTGTCCGTATAGCGGCACGGCCCCCGATGTTCGGCGGGCGAACAAAACCCGGCAAATTACCGACATGGTTTCAAGTGTACGGCATATCCTTGTACACATACGTATGTGCTCACGTGATTAGTTTATATCACCGATTCTTGCGCGCTCGGATGTCAGCAAAAATCAGTGACTCAAAACACTGCAACGCTGGCGGAGATCAACAACGAGTAGTGGAACGGGCTAGCTCAGAGCTAAATCTCGCATTCCCTTTTACCAACTGTTTCGACTGGTATTTTGCTCTTCTGGTTCAAATTCCAGAGCATATTCTAGGCTGCCACAGAAGATCATTCTAATTACTTCGAGGGTTGGCACTTTGTGTTGTTTAACATTACAAAAACATTATAGGACATGAACGATTCAAATAAATCAAGTATATCACAATTTATTTCAATACACAGTTCGAGAAAATATTGTTTTAAAATCATTTACCGGTTTATGTAATCTTCGACAATATTTAATGTATAGCATGCAAGTCAACCTTTTTACTAAGATATGCTATTTGGGAAACTACCTGTTTTCATTTTTTTAGTTCATAATTCTACGAACGGTCCATAGTACGCCCGGCTCAAGCTCGGTTCATACTCTGCGCGAAAGCGAACGCGAATTTGTGACGTCGTGGCAAGTATTCGCGCTGCGAATTCGTAAAAGTTGAACATCTTTCAACTCGGGCGAATTTGGCAGCGAATGTTTTATGACGTCAAATTCGCTTTGCATTCGCTTTCGCATGAAGTGAGGGCCCTGTCACACTTCTGCGTATCCTAATTCCTTATGAGTTGCGCATTGACTTTTTTTCATACGCAGTCGTACGCACAATACGCACATCATATGCATCTCTATCGTTTTATGTAAGTTTTATTTACGCAGGCATACGCATGGTACGGCCCAGTACGCTGGATAGTTTTGGGCATGCACAAAACTACGCTGCGTACGTTGTTACGCAGGTCATAAGTTATAAATACGCAGCGCATCGGTCGAGCGCGGTACGAGTACGCTATGTGTTCGTGAGGGATAAGCCGTTTATACGCGGCAATACGCTGACCTCCTATATTGGACGTATACATAGCGACGTATTGCACGAATTAGTACCGCTCGTCCTGCGAGCGGGCAGCGCATTGTACTTATTCGTAACTTATGAGAAACGCACAGATGGCGAACTTGCGCACTGCATACGCAACTCATACGCATTTCATACGCAGTGGATGCGCTGAATTCGTTACTTGTTCGCTAGATGTGCGTCGCACATATGTCAAAGTAATCAAAAAATTGCGACGTTTTTGATCGTACGGCTGCGTATTGAAAATTGTTGATAAAGAACTCATAAGGAATTGGGATACGCAAAAGTGTGACAGGGGCTTGAGAACCGGGCTTCATACTTCATGCGAATGCGAAGCGAATTCCACGTCACAAAGCATTCGCTGCGAAATGCGCTTGAGTTGAAATATGTTCGACTTTTACGAATTCGCAGCGCGAATACTTGCCACGACGTCACAAATTCGCGTTCGCTTTCGCTTTCGCGCCGAGTATGAACCGGGCTTGTTATAGGCTAATTGACCCACGCCATTTGCGAGTTAGCCACGCCCCTTAGACAACCCTGAAGATTTTTTTGCACACTAAGAGTTGTTTTTCTCAGATTTTGCGCGTTCCGTGTCCATTGTATTGCATGCGGTTGGACAAAGTACGATTGACACCGTCTGTCAACTTGGTTGAATAGTCAGTAGAATTAGCGGTATGCTTTCCCGATGGCTAAAGGCGTGCCAACGTGTCTATAGCGACTTGATTTCGAAGAGAATAGGAAGCATATGTAAACAGAAGAAGATGAACATGTTATAAAAACTAGACGGACAGGAAAAACCCCTCGAAGAATGAGAATGCTCATTATATATAGTGCTCATTGCAATTCCATGCACCATATACTGTGTGTGTGGGTGTACGTGTCTGTAAGCACACGCGTACGCTTGGACTTGGTGCCAAGTCGGTAATTGTTTTGTGTACGGTAACCGGTCACTGGCTCCACGCACGCAAAATATATATCGCTGCATGCGCTCACTGGTCTTTATATAGAGATCAGTGCATGCAATGCGCGTAGTCTGGTTCCCAGACCAAACGATGCTGACTATTGATGTTCAATATAATCAATTACAGTCTTGGCGAATACATTTTCAATTTGGTACACAGCATTATGTGAGTATTTTAAATTGCAAGCGAATTCTATACGAGCACTCTGATTGGTTCAAATTCCAGAGCATGTTCTAGGCGGCCACAGAAGATCATTCTAATTACTTCGAGGGTTGGCACTTTGTGTTGTTTAACATTACAAAATCATTATAGGACATGCACGATTCAAATAAATCAAGTATATCACAATGATACATTTTATTTCAATACACAGTTGACCTGGCTGAGTGTATTAGTCGTTAAAACGTCGCCAGATCTGCAAACATGCTCCGACGTATTGAGAAGAACTCCCCATGTAACAGAATGAATGCATCCTAGCTCATTTCCATAGCGGTGTGCGATTGGATCTCACAGCAAACATGCACCACATATGTTTTGCGCTGCACGCATATATGAATAACGGTGCAAGAACTTAATCGTCAAGTCGTTAGATTTGTCGCAACCGCAATTTGTATTGAACCCACAGCTAGACATACGTCCTAGGCTTACACCAGCCGTGCCAAACGAGTTCGACTGAAGTTCAGGGACAAAATAAGATTATCTAACGACTTGTCATCAAACCTAACGTACGCTGTAAGGTGTAACATTTTCATATTTTCATGATTTTTAACCCATCAGACTGCTCGGTAAAAAATCTGGTAGCAATTCCCATGGGTTGTGTACTAAGCCGAGAAAAAAAGTATTCAAGTCGACAACAAACTATTCAAATTGGAGGTCGATTTACTCTCACATTGGTGTCGAGGATATACAAACATCCCCGCATGTACGTGTCATACCGCACGCTCTACATTGTAAAGTGAACCATTGGACGGTATCTGTCCGTATAGCGGCACGGCCCCCGATGTGCGGCGGGCGAACAAAACCCGGCAAATTACCGACATGGTTTCAAGTGTACGGCATATCCTTGTACACATACGTATGTGCTCACGTGATTAGTTTATATCACCGATTCTTGCGCGCTCGGATGTCAGCAAAAATCAGTGACTCAAAACACTGCAACGCTGGCAGAGATCAACAACGAATAGTTAGCTCAGAACGGGCTAGCTCAGAACTAAATCTCGCATTCCCTTTTAGCAACTGTTTTTCGACGGGTATTTTGCTCTTGATAGATCAGTCTACTTCTATCAAATTTACAGCGAGGAGATGGAATCAAGCGCTGGAAATGGGACTGACTTGATGGAGAATTCGGGAGTTGCCGAGACAGGATTCGATTCCAGTCAGATTATCGGAGCTACAGCAGGGCTAGCTGGTATTCTGGGCAATGGTCTGGTCTGCTTCGTCATGCTCAGGTATCGTTCAGCTTTCAGCTCTATCACCAATAAGCTGATGCTTCACCAGTCCATCGTGGACTTCTCATTGTCCACAGTGATGCTCATCACCCGGCTGTACACCCCATGGGGCCAGTTTTACTGCCGTGTCCCTCGCGGTTGGCTTTATTGGGGCCTTGCGAATGTCTCCACTTTTAGTCTGATGCTAATCTGCTGCGACCGTTACGTGGCAGTTTGCTACGCCGTCAAGTACCGCAAATGGTTCTCCGCCAAGCGGGTCAAGATCGGTCTGCTTTTTGTGTGGCTGCTCCCGGTACTCTGGCAGTCCTATCTGGTCTTAGTCCACCTGCCTGACGGAGCTTCCTGCGTGGCTATCTGGCCCAACGACACTGCCAGACTCAGCTTCGGAGTGGCCACATTCTGCTGGGAGTACGTCTTGCCTCTGGCTCTGATCGTCGTCACTTACAGCCAGACAATTCTGGCTCTTCGTAAACGGCTTCGGGTGAAGGCGGAGCAGGCGGCGACTGAACCGTCGGCCAGCCACTCCCGCAACGCCGGCAACAAGGCAAGGAAGGATCCTCTGCAGACTGCCAAGGTGAGGCTGACTATAACCTTCCTGGTCGTAGCCATCTTCTTTGTCATCTGCTGGGGTCCCACAGAGATCACGTGGCTGCTCTTTAATTTCGGAATCCTGCCTGGGTCTTATTACGCCTCTTTGTGGCACCTGGGTCTGGAGACGCCTCTCCTGTGCATCAATACCTGCGTCAATCCCTTCATCTACTGTATCACGTATACTCAATTTCGCCGTCATCTTTGCAAAGCTTTCTGCGGAGGGTGCAAGTCCAACAAAGTCAAGGATACATCTGTTGAGGTTTTAACCGAAAACACCTCAGATCCTCTTCAGTCGACGAGGGGAAAAGGTCCATCAACGGCCACTGAAGTGAACACCTAAACGAATTCATGGTTCGATGCTATATTCGTCTTTGAATGACAACTTGCATACCCGAGACTAGACATGCACAACCGAAAACAATAGAATCGCACCTGTCGTCTCGCAGGATGGTTTGACTGATAGAATCGAAGAACTGTAAATTTGACTGAAGTCTGTGACACTGATTGGCTATTCATCGTCACTCTTACCATCACAATAACGAACACACCTCCATTTGCACAGTTCAGTGCGTATGCTTGGTTTTTTTTTCCGAAAGTGGCTGAAATGATGCTGTGTACAGAATGGGTGGGCTACCATCTCGTCTAAGAGATATACGTATACTGTTACATTGTTGACAATTGCACGCACCGAAAATTCACAGGTTTGACAAGATGAAACGTAAAAGGTACATATGATCATATGCTCTCCGTCCATTTTTGTTCACTCAAAACAACAATATTGCTAACAAGTGTATAAAGTAAGATGCATATATTAAACAACAAACTGTTGAAGTTTTAGCTCCGTGGCTATACTAAAACGTAAGAGCAATATTTTGGGGGTTATAGTGACTGGATTTCGTTACAAAAGCACGTAAATAGTGCGCATGCGGGCACACTTTTAAAAACACCTTCACGATCGAAATCAATTCTGGAGGAATATTTCACAGGGTTTTGGGGACTCACCCAATCGTCACTTTGAGCATGGCACATTTACCAAGACAGAAAACTCAAGTTGGTAATTGGGGGGTTTCAAGGAAAATGTATAAAAGTACACTGTAGGGGGAGCTTGTAAACGTCCGTATGATAGTTAAAATTAAAGATAGTTCGTTTTACGGACTTTGAAGCACATTAATTATAAACGATCACTTGGGCTCGCAAGCATAACAAATTAACAGATGATGGGTGATGAAAATGAAATAATTCACTTTTAACGAGAAGTTTGCGAACATCGCTCGGTCGTGATTTCTCTTAGAGAAAGGCTGAATATTGGCTAGAATTGAAAAACAATCGAGTACAGTATACTTGACAATAATTGGTCTTTGAACACTAATGGTTATAAATGTCTAAATCTCACTCACGGAAATAGAGTACTTGAATTCAATTGTGAAGTTAGTCCGTCTCAAAACATGAACTTAAGGTCGAGAGATTCTCAAATCACACTGCCAGACTGACACATTCGTATATACTCCATTCCTTAATTAAAGCCTTTTTACACTGCAAAATCTGCGGTGTAAATTGAAGCCGGTGACCAAAAGCGAGCCGCTGTGTTGCACTTTTTCGGAGGTGGGTAACGATTGAAACAAAAATGTTTGAATTAGAGGACATGTTTAAGAAATCAGTTAGCAAGAAATTCTTTACTGCTTCAGATACATTCCCGGTGATGCCTGAATTAATTAAGATTCAATCGGTTTTGTTTAATTCGAATACAAGTGTATACGAAAAGTAAGTCTATAAATAGTTAGCCGTTCAATATTGTAAACAAAAGTAGTGTGCAAATAAAGCATACCTAGATATACCTTGCGATGTCGAATCACAGACATTCTCACGATAATACACGGGGGCCAAAAAAATAAACCACCTGAACACTCAAAGCGCCCTCCTTTGCACAGCTTTATAAACCATAAGTCCAATTTATTTTGAGCTGTCCTTAAAACTTAGTTTATTTGCTTTAATATACGATATATATATATATTATTATTGTTAATCTTTATACTTTTCAATGACAAATATACGTGTTTGTTATGTTTTAATTCAATAATCTTATATTTTTTCTTAATTAATTATCAAGCAGGGCCCTTATGGAAAGCAGTTTGTAACTGATAAGGCCGCAACTAAACATCATTTCAACCGGTTCAAGACTGGTTGAGTTAATTAAACAAAAATACCGCTTGTTCTTATTGTCCACGTTGACTGCCGCTATACGAAAACAAGGGCCGAAAGTTGCATCCATGAAAGACGAAACCAAGTAGAGGGCAGAACAGGACAGTTAACATCTAAGAAGTTAAAAAAAAAACAGTCATCGTCAAAATGGAATAAAAATGACAAAATGAAAAAGCGACACTTTTTTAATTGACCATTGCTCACTAAATATTCTTCCGGTTTAAATAATGTTTTCGTTGTTGACAAGCTATTGAACTTTACTTGTGAAGTACAGTGTGAGTCAGAAAGCGAGGAACCTAAACCCCCCCAAAAATATGATGACTCGGAAGCCAATTTCATATGCTACCTTTAGATGAACAAATTCCTGAAATTGCTCAATCCTTTCAAAGAATATCACCATTTAAATGCAAGGAACCTTAAACCCGATTCGTCAAAAAAAGCAATTTATTGTGTATTCTGACCGTTTGGAACAACAAAGAAAATGACAAAGAACACTTGTTTCGACAACTGTCAACAAAATGTAGTACACATTATGTTTTTGAACAACCCTGGTTTGGAAAACAATATGATTCATAAAATCCACTTTTCAAAAGACGGGCGTTCAAAAGGACTTTGCTGAATAATTTTCACTTTTAAACTAAGGTTTTATCGCTGTTAATGTTGGAAGACAATTATGACGACGATTCTTGAAATCGCATTTTTGGACGAAAGAGATTTTGGGGTCATTGTATTTAAATGTTGATATTCTTTGAATGGATTGAGAAATTTCTGTATTCTTTTTTCATCTAAAAAGGCTTATGAAATTAGCTTTCCAGTCGTTATTATTTTTGGTGCCACATATTCTTTTAGATAATTTTGGGGGTTAAGGTTTTGCTTTGTTTTACTCATCCTTTATGTATCAAGATTATGCGATGTATTTTTTAAGCTGTGAAAAAGGAGGGCGTTTTGAAGGTTCTGTTTTATGGGACACCCGGTATTTCTTTATGAAACTGATGAGGCACTAGAACAATTTTGTTTAGTTTTCTTATATCCCTAATTGTATATCACTGTATGATACCATATATCACTGTGTGACACCGTTTAGGTATATAGGAAATCTGTTGTTACGTTCTTCATTGAGTTGACTAGAAATTCAGCAGAAGCCAAGATGATAGGTTTTTGCGACACGAGGTTTGAGAATGAACATTGCAAACATTGTTTTACCCCATTGTAGTAATTTGCAGTATTGTAATTGTTTCCACAGAGCATGTATTCTTACGACATTACACGGTTATTGATAGTAGTATTATTGACAGTATGTGTCTCCAATTTTCACGGTATAATCCTCAGCAGCCATCGTTAAGGTAGTTCTTTTGTAATGTTCAGTTAATGCACAAGATGTTTACTCGTGCATACTAAGAAAGGTCCACTGTGGAACCAAAAAACATTAAACAATTTAAAAGATATATAATAACACATACAAACAATTTAAACTTGAAAGATTGCTGCAATGCAATGAATCTATGTAGGCCCTGTAACACGCCTTTCATCGTTTTTACTGCATCGAATTGTGGGACAAATTCTTGCCCAGTTTTAAATTAATTCGTCGCAGTGCCATTATGGACAGTACATTTCTTGGGGTTTTTTTTATGGCTGTTCTCCAGTCATCAGCAGCATTGGATCCAGATTGCTATATCCGTAAAACGGTTCATTGTTGCCAAACTGTATAACATGCAGTGCTTTCATAAAAAAAGCCACCCAAAACTCATGAAAATACCTAACGTTTTGACAATGTTTCTCCTAAACACTGGCTTTTTTTCTTCGGTGCAATTATGAGGGTTTTATGGTTTTATTTTATTTTTTGTAGGGGTATGCATATTTTCTTTTCTAAAGAAAACATTAATGTCGACACTGGGAGGAGCAATTTATTAAATCACTATCAACCAATATGCCGATTAGCTTGTATTTGATCTTGACTATTTTAGCCCGTGGGTCATTCTATAAGGTTGGGGTCGAAAAATGTAACATTTTGATGCCCCTATTACACCTGACCTGTGTGTAATTGACATGGAAATAGCATCGCAATTCACTTCAAACTATTTTTTATTCGTTTAGCAGATACTTTGCATTACCTAACCACTCTTGAAAGTAGAAGGCATTAAAGCGTGTGTTCTGAATTTACAATATCTTATGTCAGATGTGACAGGGACACCCAAAAAAAAATTGGACCCCAAATTTATTGAATGACCACCAAATGAAATGCAAATTTAATGATGTATACATCATTAAATTTGCATTTCATTTGGTGGTCATTCATAATAAATAATCCTATTATTTATATTGTAAACATTCCTTTTTCAACGGATGAACCTGAAAATTGGGCCCAAATACGTCCCAAGACACGCAAATAGACAAAAAATCAGTAAATAAATAGAGGTAGCACAAAGATTAACAACCACATGAATAGCATGAACATATGTACATCAGAGTGGAAAAAGGACATGATACTAATACTTACAATTACGTATAATTACGTCCTTATTACAGGTCCGCTCATACTTAACGTGAATTTCAATGCGAAGCGAATTCGTTAAGGTAACGGCGGACGTCACAAAAATTCGACTTTTGTTGCTGCCTTCACGAATTTGGCTTCGTTTTCACTTTCGCTTGAAGTATGAACCGGCCTGAAGGTGAGATTCCGTTTACTTATCACTGTTCCAGTGCACTCTGGTGTTTATTAAATACGTAGTAACATTGAGGCGTGTCATTGTCTTCACTGTAGAGTGGTCTGAATCTTTACAATCTTGTTAAATCCCTTTGCCGCCAGAATGTCTGCGTGGAAACCAGTACGGGGATCCCAGTTTAACTGCATCTCTGCAGTCTTGACTGTATAGAAAACGCCGGCCCTATCGTCCCATTCGATTGGCGGAAACATATTTAATCTCCTTGGGTTTTTTGTACTCTACTCAAGCAATGTTAATGAATAGCCTAAATTGAGCAAACATATAGATTGTAGTTTTACTCTCAAAAATAAAATCTTCTTTAATAATCCGTTAGCAGGAAGATACGTATTAGATAGACGATTTTCCAAGAGCAGAGGATCGTTTTCCAAGAGGATCGTTTTCCAAGAGGATTGTTTTCCAAGAGGATTGTTTTCCAAAAGGATCGTTCACTTTTCGAGAAACGTCATTTTGAATTGAAAAGAGTTCGATCAGCAACGTTTGCTCAATACATTAGATTAATTCTGTTTTCAACTTGAAACAAGTGTTTAGGAGTTGATTCTCTTTTTCTATGCCTTTCTTTAACATCCACGGGAACCAAACACGACAAGAGTTGGCTTTTGATCAAACAAACAAAAATCTTTTCATTTGCATGATTTTCATTACTGGGATTTATCGACCTTTTAACGTGAACTTCACACTTTGTAAGATCAATTTAAATAAATGATCCTGGCACGCTAAAACTCATCAAATCAGCACTCAATTTCAAGGCAGCGTCAACAAATTCCGCACGCAATTGTACCCAGTTCATCAAAACGATCATCCCAAATTAATGTCGTGCATGGAATTTTATTTTTGTTTTGTCGCATTTAGGCCTATATTGTTACATTGAAACTAGAGTAATAGCGCAAAGTCACCATAGTAACCAAGACAAAGGATGCACATATCACAATTCAAACAGTAAGAATGGATGCTGATATGTAATTGTCAATCAAGTCCGCAGTCTGCGATGGTATGGTTTGCTTGGTTGCATAATGATATCTCTTGTACATTTTAAAATTCTTATAAATTCTTGGCGAATTAAGACACAAATTTACTCTGGCATGCATTGCCATTCAAAGCACTCGGAAGTTGTATGATTCGTCAAATGGCTAATTGCCAAATGGAATTTCGTTTTAAGCGCATCATTCCGAACATTTTCCCCGTATAACTCGTTAATGATAGGTTCGCCTGTCGAATTTGTCAAATTGGCGTTCCTTCATTTTCGTGGGGGGGGGGGGGGTCATTCTTAAGCGATTTTGCTCCTACGGTTTGTCTCTGATCCTGTCATTCAGATTTTTTGTCACACATATTGTGCGGCCTGGAACACTTACGATTAAGAATTGGCTCCTTCCACTTGAACGCTGCCGCATTTGATTCAATTAAGCAAGAAAACGAACGTCAATGCATAAAATAGGCTGCTGTTAATTTGATTTTTTTTTTTCAGCCGGAAAAGCTATAATTTAATTGCACTGCAGATGGCAGAAATTACACCATAGTATTGCATATAACAACCAAAACGAAATTGGATGGTAAGAACGAGGTTACACATGCATGCGCGAAAACGACATTTTATGCAGTAATATTGAATAGGAAAACCCCGATCTCGAGTCGAAACACTACGCAAATTTTAAAACGGTGCTGATGAAATTGATCGGAATAGTTGTTCAACCTACATCATAGGTATCCTGGTCGAATACGTCAAACTGGTATTCATATCCACAAGTGTGCATTCGTAAATCCTGCGGTTCGTTTTCGGATTCGTTTTCAAACAACATGATTTTGTGGGAACACGTTGAGGAAACACGGTTCCGCCATTCAATAGACCGTATGCCTTGCATGTGCCTCGGAGGGCATTCTTAGTAATTTTAATTCAATTCACAAAGAGTTTACTCATGCCTATCATAGCGACACAAAGCCTTTGCCCTCCAGCACCGCCTTAAGGGTGAGTAAAAAACAACGAAACCCAAATGTCGGGAGCATTGTTTTAGTGAAGTTTTAAATATAACACTTTCAAAATCTAGGATATGAAAGCTCAATTCATAAGCTTTCTTTTAGTACAAGAATCATTCAAATCACTTACGTACTTTTTAAGTTACGGACTTTTAAACACAACCACCGTTTTAAAGTTCTGTCCACGGATCGCAAAACGGTAAGTGTTCTTTCAGCAAAACGAAAACAAATCACACGAAGATGTGTGTGAATTTTTTTCGTTTTGCTAAAGGAACGCACACCTTTTGTTATTATAATCTGGAATTGGATTTACGCTTGTTTGGAAAATGTGCACACATATTCATACGTATGCATGCATATTCCTAAATTTCAGTGGTCGTTTTATTATACAATGAGCACGCTTGGGTGCTCTTGAATTGAATGATTAATTTCGAATGATCGTCGTTTAAATTGAATGCCAATTTGTTTTCTAACGAAAGTGAATTCCACTGGGAAAAAAATCTCACCATGCAACTGGTTCGACATAAATGCGTGAGCTAAGTCATGTTTTAAATTTGAGAACAGGGAACACGATTAAAATATTGGAACCAAATTTACTTTCAAATTATTGTTTGAAATTGGGGTAATTATTGTTTGAAACTTTAATCTTGTATGTAAACCTTAAAGTGATTGAAAATGAATTACTAATACGCCCGGGTAAAATGTATGCCTATCTATCTCAAACAAGAACCGTTGACAGGAGAGTCAGATTTATGTCACAGTCTCCAATGTCAGCGTGATTATCTGATGCTTATCTGATCAATTTACTGAATCGGCAGAGATCCGGCGTCCTTTATAGTCTTCAAGAATTCACGGCTATTGGCTTGATATCGATGTCCTTAGTTGTCAACTCCACTGAGAATCACTGTCTATCGACAAGCAATCAAAAAATTATAAGTTCCTCACGAGCGATCCGAGAGCACTACACTACATCCTTGAGCGGTATAGCCTTACCATTGTATACTTCATAAGTTATTACAGACGACAAACCGCGTCCGAATCTTCTATTGACACTCACTGTCAGCCAAATTCTGCGTAGAACTGCGGGAAGTCTGTC